CAGCAGCAGCAGCAGCAACAACACCACCGCCAACAACAGCAACAATCACAACACCAACAGCAACACCAACGACACCAACACCAACACCAACACCAACACCAACACCAACACCACCACCAACACCACGACCAACAACAGCAACAGCAACAACAACAACAACAATCGCTTTAATACTGTTCGCTCCAATCTGCTGCCGTGCCAATCAATACGTAAAAATCACACCCTCGGTACCGGTACCCGCTCTCGTCGACTTCGATGGTACCCCTTAGGGGGTGGATCTTCCTTACCTGTCACGTGCGTTTAGTGCAACCCCTAAAACAAAGGAAGAGAAGACGGGTGGAAGGAACATGGCGACGAGGGAGAAGAATGGCGCACGGCAACCCATAAAACAAGAGAAGAGGGAGAATAATGGCGCACGAGAAATTAGCATGATGGTGGCAAGGAGCAGAAAACGAATGGTAGAACCAGACGGGCAGATCGGGTGGGCAGACCCATAGCGGGCAGGTCGGGAAGGCGGGCCCAGGCGACCAGGTCGAGCAGGCAGGTTGCTGAAGGCATGAATCGCGAGAAGGTCTCGAGCGACAGCGCGATTCCGAAGTACACATGAGGAAAAGCCACAGCGAGAGCGTGATTCCTGAGTGTCGAGGGCGTGGCGTCTGGAAGAATGGCGAGGAAGTCCCACGCGAAAGCGCGATTCGTATACAAATTGTGAGGAAGTCCGGCGCGAGAGCGCGATTTGGGAATACATTGTGAGATGAACTATCAGGCGGGAGCCGCTGTTGTTGTAAACCGGGGGCCAACAACCCAGTTTGAGCCGAGTGACTGTCCCCGACTTGATTTTAATGAAAAAAGTGCGGGCCCTGGGGGAAGCACTTCAATTGAAAAGTACAATGGTCACCAGAGGGGGATCAACAATAGTTATTGTTCAGTCATGAGAGTTCAACAACAACATCATCAACAACACGAACAATCAATTTCAATATGTTCGCTCTTATCTGCTCGAGTGTAATTCAACGCGTATTTCCCAAACACTCGATACCCGCCCTCTTCGTCTTCGATCGTATCCCCTTTGGGGGGGTATATCTTCCTTCCCTGCAGGCCGGGCCCCGGCAAGCGGCGGGGCGGCCGCGGACCGTCGGCCTGGCCAACGGCAACGCTGACCGGCGGCAGCTCGACCCCAAGAGGTACGGGCAGGGGACCGACCACGACGACGACGACGACGACGATGATGAGCGAAACTGTGAGCGAGATCGAGGCGACAGCGGGGCCACGAAGGGCAGTGCTGGGGGCCACGAGGGGCAGCAAGGGGGCCACGAAGGACGACAGCGGGGAACCGAAGGGCGGATAATGCGGGGCCACGGAGGGCAGCGAGGGGCCACTGAGGGTGGCAACGGGGCCACGTAGGGCAGCGAGAGGGCCGCAAAGGGCGACAGCGGTGGCACGAAGGGCATGCATATGTGGCCACGACGGGCGCGAACCAACGGGGGCCACGAGGGGCGTGCGTATATTGGGCCGCAGAAGGCACGGACGGGGCAACTTTGGGCAGCAGCGGGGCCACGAAGGGCAGCGAGGAAGCCGCGAAGGGCGACAGTGGGGCCACGACACACATGCACATGGGGCCACGACGGGCGCGAACGAGCGGGGGCCACGAAGGCATGCAACACATGGGGCCACTGAGGGCAGCGAGAGGGCCGCGAAGGGCTGCAACGGGGCCACGAAGGGCAGCGAGGGACCTCGAAGGGCTGCAACGGGGCCACGAATGGCAGCGAGTGGGCCACGAAGGGCTGCAACGGGGCCACGAAGGGCAGCGAGAGGGCCACAAAGGGCAGCAAGGGAGCCACGAAGGACAGCGAAGGGGCCACGAAAGGCTCCATCCGCGCCACGAAGGGCAGCGAGGGGGCCACGAAGGGCTGCAACGGGGCCACGAAGGGCAGCGAGGGGACCACGAAGGCATGCAATACATAGGGCCACTGAGGGCAGCGAGGGGGCCACGAAGGGCTGCAACGGGGCCACGAAGAGCAGCGAGGGGGCCACGAAGGGCTGCAACGGGGCCACGAAGGGCATCGAGGGGGCCACGAAGGGCGGCAACGGGGCCACGACGGGCAGCGAGATCCCGATAACTAAGTAAGATGTGAGGGAGTCCTAGGCGTGAGCGCGACTCATGGGTGCCTGAGTGTCGGGAACGCGTCGCTTGAGTAAATTGCGCGGAATTCCAACGCAAGATTGCGATGCTTGAGTAAGTTGCAAGCAAGTCTCCAGCGAGAGCGCGATTCCAGAGCGCCGAGAGAGCGAATCTCTAATAATTTGTCAGGAAGTCCCAAGCGAAAGCTCGAGTCCTGCGTAAAATGCAAGGAGTCGCAGGTGTTGTGGTAACCCATGGGCAACGGGCGCAGGTTGGCCCTTTATGACTTTCCCTGGAGACAAGATTTGATGCGAGCCGCGGGAAAAGCACATCAATTGAACAAAACAATGGTCACCGGAGGGGATCAACAAAACCTATTATTATCCAGTAGTGGCATTTCAACAACAACAACATTATCAACAGCAACAGCCAGCAACAGCAGCAACAACAACAACAACAACATAAACAACACTACCACCAACAATAACCACACCAACAACAACACCAACCACCACAACAACTACAACAACAACAACAACAGAACAACAGCAACAACAAACACAATAACACTAGCAATGATGACAACCACGACGACGGCAAAAACAAAACAACAACAACGACAACAACAACAACAACATAAACAACAACAACACCAACAACAACAACGACAACGACAACGACAACACCAACACCAACAACCAACACAACACCGAACACAAACATAAAAACATGATCGACCCACAAACCCGGAGAATGATGTAGAACTGTGAAGCATGGCACCGTTTCGAAGACGCCAAACTTGGGCGACGGGCAATTACAATCCTCAAACTAACGATCGTGATGTACCGTGCCACGGGCTGTGCTGTACTGAGCCGTGCTGAGCCGTGCTGTGCTGAGTTCAACGTGTCATACCGCGTCGAATCGTGCCGCGCCCTATTGCATTGAGGATCAAGCCGTCCATGGCATCAGAATCGTGGCCGAACTGATTTGGATCTTAAGATCGAGCTCCCTGAACGCATAACTCGGGCTGGGTATAGCCGAGACGCGCGGGGCGCTCGACCAGATCGAGCTCAAGATCCGATTCAAATTCGAACCCATCGCCCGAGACATTCAGTTCCGCAACGGAGCGAACCGAGCGCGACCACGACAAGCGGGGGAGAAACATGCGGGGCGTTCAACCAGCTCGAACACAAAATCCGATTCAGTTCCAAAGTGGGACGAACCGACCAAGGAGCGAATGCGACCCGAAACCGGAAACACCAAGACGACAAGGCCCCCGCTCGACACCTCCCCAAGCAATGGAACACGCGTGAAAAGACGTGGGTCCATTACGCCCCTCAGCGGAACCAGCGTGTGAAAACACGTGGGCCCCTTTCGCCCCAGAGCGGAACAAATATGAAAACACGTGGGTCCCTGTCGCCCCAGAGCGGCAGCAGCGTGAAACCACGTGGGCCCCTTTCGCGCAGGAGCGGAACAAGCGTGAAATCTCCCTGGCGAACTGGGCAGGCGAAAACAAGCATGTCGCCGGAGACAGCCTCGGAACCCTGGCCTCCCCACGAGGCCCCCGCTGGAGACACCCCCCGAAACTGCAATACCACAGCGTTTATCGGGCCGGGCGAAAGGGGGGGATAGCAAAGAGGAGGTTTCAGAATTGACTACCTACCAGACCACCCCAACCCAACCCGAAGACCCGAATTTCGGGTGGGGGGGGGTCAGGGTTCCACGCGTGTTTTCTCGATGTTCCCCGACCCCCCCCCCACTGGAAATCGACGGTAAATTTGAGCCTTCGGGTTGGGTTGGGGTGGTTTGGGGGGGGGGGGTCAGAATCAGCTCACGAAGCTGATTTTCCCGGCGCCTCCCGGCGCCGGGAGGCGCCCATGTATCGAGGAATGGGCCCGGCGGCGGGGCCGAAACCAGCCGCATGCAGCAGATTTCGTGACCCCCCCCCTTTCCCTATCCCCCCCTTTGACATCCTCAAAACTCAATCCTTCCGGCCCTCTTCCGCGCCTCGTCACTGCACGCAGAAAAACACTCCGCCGGGGCTGCCTCCAGGTCGAGGCCGGGATTTTACCCTCCAAGAGAACCCTGGGCCTATACGTCATTTCCGGAGAAACAAAAGCTTGTCGTAGTTTTCGCCAGCGAGGGGAGGTCTGTGAGCGGGGGAGGGGGGAAAAGAAACTTCTTCTTGTTCGCGACAGCGGCCGTTACCGGCCTTGGCCGCCCACACCCCCAGGCAGTGCAATGTCACGAGGTGTGCTGACGTCAAAACTGTCTTGGGCTGCTCCCACACTTTGCCAGACGGCGCGGGACGAAGGGCGAGTGTCCGAGGATTGACGATCGGGAAACGAAGTTTTTGGAAGCCGTTCGCCTTTTTGGGCAGAGGAGGGTTGAGCTTTCAGGATCCAGTTTTCTATCGAGGATACGACGAGCTCAGGATCAAAATGTTAGGAGCAGATGAGGACAGAGAAACAAACAAACCGCATGCGCAGAAACTTTCGGAGGCGAGCTGGGCTCCTTGGGTCAGCACTGGACCGCAGCGCTGGAGGCGCCGCCAAGGGGGAGGGGTACAAGGATCGACCATCGAGGCTCGACACTATGATGCATTGGGGTCTCGCCTTCTCGGGGGCCCAATTTGGGAGGCCCAAGGCATCCTACGAACTCCCGGGGACCAACCTCTGGAGGCCTCTGGAGGAAAAGCAGCGGCGACGAGAACATATTGACCCAGACGAGCATCTAGGAGGAGGTAAGAGCAAGAAGTATAGGAAGAAACCATTCTAGGGACACAAACGTGCGGCGGTCCGCGCGGGCCCATGAACATGTGTACTGGCCACAGACACACAACTCCTTCTCCCAAGCAGACCGGGATAGGGGCAGGGAGGCCGTGACCGCCAACGAGGAGAAGGGCGAGGAGGGGGGCGTGGAGCGACGACATCGCGCTCGCAGAGGGCCGAGGCGGCACCTCCCGCGCGCCCTCGCAAAAAAAAAGCGCAGTTCGCGCGCGCGCCCCAGCGGCGCGCAGAGAGAGGGGTCGGGCCGGGCGAAAGGGGGGGATAGCAAAGGGGGGGTTAGAGAATCAGCTCACGTAGCTGATTTTCCCGGCGCCTCCCGGCGTCGGAGGCGGTTATGTATTGAGGAATGGGCCCCTCGGTGTGGCCGAAACCAGCTGCATGCAGCAAATTTCCTAACCCCCCCTTTCCCAATCCCCCCCTTTCGCCCGACCCGAAGGGGGGGGAAGCCAGGGCTCCGAGGCCAGGCCCCCCTCGCGGGCAGGCAGCGGGTCCTGAGGGCCGGCCGCCCCTGCTCGTGCTTCGCCCTTCCCCCCTCTCATCGTCGTCGTCGTCGTCGTCGTCGTCGTCGTCGTCGTCGTCGTCGTCGTCGTCGTCGTCGTCGTCGTCGTTGTCGTCTTCCTCCTCTTCCTCCTCCTCCTCTTCCTGCTCTTCCTCCTCCTCCTCGCCCTCCTCTTCCTCCTCCTCCTCCTCCTCCTCCTCCTCCTCCTCCTCCTCCTCCTCCTCCTGGACCCCGCCCCGCGGGCTATCCGCAGCGCCAACTCTCCATTCCGAGCCGCTGTGCGGCAGCCCCGGAGGGCCCCGGGAGGGCCCCCTGCAGGGAGGCCGAAAGAGACGGTGAGAAGCCTCCAACCGGCTCCCTCGGGAACTTCGGTGGCAACTCATGGGAGCCTCCCATACCGTCGTGTCGGCTCGTGCGGCTCTTGCGAATCGAGGCTAAGTCGACGCTAATCGACGCTGAATCGGCGATATCTCATCCACTCCCAGATGCTAATTGATCGACGCTCATCGACGCTGAAGACGGAATTAAGGAAGTATACCAGGCTCCCGTGATTTGCTACCGAACCTTCCCCTCCCGGCGACCTTCGGCGTCGTCCTTTCCTCGACGCTGGCATTCTCCTTCCGCTTGGGGGCGCGCAAACATGGATTAGCGATCCATGGATTTGGCGTGCGGTCGCCAGATCCATGTATCCCAGGTGCCCTCCCCAAAATGCGGCCAGTGCCGCCCCGTTCCGACGCGTAAACCAGTGATTTCCCATGGAAGCGGGACCCGTCCCCAGACATGCGACGTCCTGATTTTTTCTGGACGGCGTCCCTGGAAGTCCGGACTCTTTACCTGGGACCGGTTTTCTGCCCTGAATCGTGTTTTGACGGTCCCGAGGCCCGGCGAGGGCCCCCCGGGGCCGAACATAGCCAAAAACCTCCCGTCCTAATTGTTTTTGGCGGTGCGCAAAAGGGGGTGGAGGGAGGGGGGAAGGCTTCTTAGAAGCACCCCTGCTTCTTAGAAGGCCCCGGCCTTACGTCTATAGAGAAGGCCCGCGCCTTCTAAGAAGCAGGTGTGCTTCTAAGAAGCCTTCCCCCCTCCCCCTACCCCCCTCTGCGCGTGGCCGATGTTTTACGAAGCGAGCATGCCTGGGCCGCCAATCCACGCCCCCGTGATCCATGTCTGCGATCGGGAGGGGCCGGCAGGCCACGGCGTGCCTCGGACGACGACGGGCATTCACGGACACCGAGCTGGGCTACGCCGAGCCTGGCCGGCGTAAACGAGAACCCTGGGCCCAGGGGCCAGGAGCGGCGTCGTCGTCGTGTAATTGTCAACCTCCTACTACGTGGTGGCTTCTCGAGATAACCCATAGAAGCATCGCTAACCAACTGGGAGGGGGGCTAAGTTGGGAGGGCCAAACATGGGGGATTGGGGGTCTGTTTGCAGATGTATCAAATGAAAACACCTATATGCTTAGGGAGGCTCCTCAAAACTGGGAGCCTCAGTTAGGCCACGAAGTCGTGGTGACAGTAGGGTTAGGGATAGCATTATGTTCCATACTCTTAGTAGCCCTCCTGGCTTCTGATAAGTTGCCTGATAAATATCTAGCCCTTCAGAGACGGCCGCCACCTGCTACGAAGCCCCCCGCCCTCTCCGGATCCCCCTGCTCGTCTGTCCAGATATTCGACGGCATGATCTGTTTACAAGACCCCTTGGCCCAGACTGCATACCGGTGGGACGAGGGCGAGGAGAAAATCAGGGACGCATGAATACGTGACGAGCATGGGGCCAGCGGAGAACTTGGCTTCAATTTCGCGAGTCAGCATTTCGACAGGATCCCTCTCCGCGACCAAGTCCTCATCCGGAGCTGCCAGGACTCGGCGAGGGCCCCCGAAGGCCGAAAGCGGCGCCAACGTTTTAGGCTGGAGCGAGGGGGCAACGAAAATAGGGGGTCACTGGGAGGCGCAACAGCTTGAGCGAACTACTGCACGAACTCGTGCGTGAACTGCGGCTGATGGGGCACGAACTAGTGCAGTGGGTATGAACTACCGGGTCTGATGGAACACACGACTGCATCCACGCGCAAATATTGTGTCCAGACTGCCACGTGCAACTATTGCTTCCAAAACGCAGACTGCGTCCAAACCGCAACAACGACTGCAAGTACTAGTGCACCTACCCTGGCACCTTCATCGGTGCTACCCCCACTGCGTCCAAACCCACACAACAAGGATGCAAAAGGCCTCGGAAGGCCATGCCGACACCCTGCGAGCGGGGCGCGGCCAGCGAGAGCGGCCAAGGATGGGCCGAAGGGGCAGGATGCAGGGGTACTCCAGAGTTCGTAATAAAAGGGAGGGGGTCTGGACCCTCCAAGACAGGCCATTTCAGACCTCCCCCGTGGGAGAACCCTCCAAAACCTCGTCCCCAGACCCCCCCCCAGGCCCTCCAAGATAGCCTGGAAGAGACCCCCCCCGAAATGAGACCCCCCTCCCTTTATTACGAAATCTGGAGTGACCTTAGAAAACCGTTCCTCCTTACTGTGCGGCCTGACTGTGCTCGAGCTAACCTCCGCCTCGACTTTCCCTCGCGACGACGAAGGGGGCCTGGCCCCGCCCCGCTCGAGAGGCGAGGCCTCGGTCGGGTCCCGGGCGCGTGCGCTCTTACGCGCACGCGCGCCGTGCAGCGGGGGGAAGAGGCGCGCCCGGCCGGTCAGCACCGCTCCGAGCGCGCGCCCCGCGGCGAGACCGCGAGAGCCGCCGGCGTGCACATTTGCGGCGGGTCCGTGCCGTGGCGACGCCTTGCGCTGGTGGGTGGTGACGTCCGCACCCGACCCCCACCGGCCAGGGACTCTCCTCCTCCTCCTCCTCGAGTCTCCTCGATCGGGGAGGTGGAGGAGGAGAAGGGAGGACTCATCAACGATGTTGCACTAAGCCCTCCCTCCAAGCTCCCTCTCCATAGGCTTCTGCAGACATTCGTTCACACTGAAGAGAATGCACCGTTGGAAAACAATCGCTTGGAAAATCTGAACTGTGCCAGAACACCGTTCCTGGGAATTCAACGCCGCGAATCACCGTCAATGTTGTGTCTTGTCCATCCTGAATCGCGCAAGAGCAAAATTTCTGGGACTTGAACACCCGCATCAACGCAAGTGCCGTCCCATGACACGTCGCCATCGTGCTAAAACACCTGTTGTGGAATAGTAAATGAGATTCCTTGAAACTGTGGTAAGATCTTAAATCGAATGCTATCGGAACCAAAACGAGAACCACAATTTGAATCAAAACCGCCCTCCATCCGTGAAGCTCGTCGATTTGGTTGACGAGTATGCGCGACCCGCAGGCGAGAACCACATTTTGAAAACGACCCGCCCTCCGTCCGTGAAGCTGTTTGAAAATTTAGTGACGAATGTGCGCGGCGCTAAGGCGAGGGCCACATTTTGAAAACAACCCGCCCTCCATCCGTGAAATTCTTGAATAAATCCAAACCATCCTGTGGTAATGGGCCCTCGTTTGGAGAAACAGCGCCCCGCGTCCCTCTTCTCCTCCTCCTCCCCCTCCCCCTCCCCCTCCTCCTACTCCTCCTCCTCCTCCTCCTCCTCCTCCTCCCTCTTATCTTCTGCCCATCCCTGTCGCTACCCTCGTCGCCGCCATCATCACCATCAGCATCATCAGCATCTAACACACCATCATCATCATCATCATCATCATCATCATCATCATCATCATCATCATCATCATCATCATCATCATCATCAGCATCATCATCAGCATCAGCATCAGCATCAGCATCAGCAGCAGCAGCAGCATCAGCATCATCATCATCATCATCATCATCGTCATCATCATCACCTGATAATCATCACCACAATCAGCACCATCAGCATCATCATCATCAACGCCATCATCAGCATCATCAGCATCATCATTGTCATCGTCTGCATTATGATAATCATCATCACCATCACTATCCTTAGCAGTATGAACACCACCAACATCATCATCAACACGTCATAAACCCTACCATCAACATCATCATCATCATCATCATCATAATCCTCATCTACATCATCAATATCAGCATCATCATCATCATCATCACCATCATCATCACCATCATCATCATCATCATCATCATCATCATCATCATCATCATCATCATCATCATCATCATCATCGCCAGCATCATCAGTATTGTCGTTGTCGACGCCGTCGGCACCATCATCAGCATCATGAGCAAGCACCAGCAGCAGCAGCGTTAACATCATCATCATCATCATCATCACCATCATTACCACCACCGTCCGTGTCATCAGCACCTTCATCGTCATCATCATCGCATTCGTCACCATCATCACCATCATCATCATCACAAACATCACCATCAGTATCATTAGTATCACCGTCACCATCGTCACCACCAGCATCATCATCACCATCAGCATCACCATCAGTATCAACATCGGCATCAGCATCATCAGCAACATCATCATCACCACCACCATCAGCATCACCATCATGATCATCAGCAACAGCATCGTCATCGTCATCGGCATCGTCGTCATCATCAACATCATCACCATGTTGTATCCTTATCCTAAGCATCATCATCAACATCAGCATCACAATCATCAGCATCGGCATCATCATCAGCATCATCAGCACCATCATAATAATCATCACCAGTATTAGCCTCGTCGTCATCATCATCAGCATCACCATCATCAGCATCATCGTCATCAACCTCCTCCTCCTCCTCATCATCATCATAATCATCGGCATCATCACAATTCGCATCATCATAGTTATCATGATCACAATCATCATCATAATCATCATCGTCGTGGTCGTCGTCACCATCATCGTGATCGATTTCGGCACACACTCACACGTTTCGTGGCCCCATAGGTAGCTCCACCGAAGACCCCAGTGGCGCAGTCCGCATGGCGAGTGTCCTCACCCGATTCGGCACACCCCTCACCCGTGTCGTGCCCCGTAGAAGCTCTGCCAGAGGACCAATTCGACGATAAGGGAAAGATGTGCGTTCCTGACAAACAAAACTTAGGACTTGGGTTCGGGCGGGGGGGGAGGTTAGGAGTTCGAGTTCACAAACCAAGAAAAGGCAAGAGTTCGAAACAATTTCACCTGATCAGGGGGCATACCGACAAACCTCCAAAAGTTGTATCAGAGTTTGGAAGCCAATACGAAACAGGCTTGAGACCAATTCGAAGTAAGTCTCAAAGTTCAACAAAACCCCCGAAATCCCGGGGAAAATTGAAAACAAATCGGACACATTTCAAAACCAATTCGGGGATTGTACGAAAAGCTCACACGCGCTCTGGATCTTCGCCGCCGAACTTTATCCAAACTTTTTCCGAACTTCAGGATTCTAGCCACTCCGACCGTGAAATGTGTAAAAGCATTGGTCTCGCACTGTTTCAAGACTTTGTGTTTTGAACGTAGGGCCCGTTTGCGCCCCCTCAGCCAATCACAAAACCCAATGGCACAGTCCGCATGGCGCTCCCGCGCCCGATTTGGCGCGCACACACACACACACACACACACACACACACACACACACACACACACACACACACACACACACACATCACACGTTTCATGGCCCCATAGTAGGCCCACCAAAGGCCCCAGGGGCACAATCCGCATGGCGTACCCGCACCCGATTCGGCACACCGCTCACGTGTTTCGTCGCTCTATTATAGGGATTTCCAATGCAGGCCCAAGTGGCAGCGCCCGCTCGGCGGGCCCGCCCCATGTAGGCACACCCCATCGCACGCTCCGTGGCCCCATCAGGAGATCCACCGAAGGCGATACCCACAACGACGGTACGCACACCTGCATATGGTTGGGCCCCTTTGCAAAGCTGATGCAGACAAATGCACGCGACACGAAGACGAGAGCCACAGATTGAAAACCACCCGCTCTAAATCCTTTTTTTGATTCGCGGCCCGCAAGGAAAAGTCCAGAGGGCGGTAAGAACGAGGCTGGGACACAGCGCACGGGAAGCAGATAATTAACGGCGCAGCACTGTGCCGGCCAAGAAGCAGCTGAGCGTGTGCCAGCGGCAAAAGTAACGCTGAACATCTGCCAGCGATGAAGCCACTAACCCGCTCTAAATCCGCGAAACCCTTCCAACTGTTTAAAAAACGGAGGTGCGCGGCGTCGAAGCGAAAGCCACGCCTTGATAACCACGCGCCCTCCGTCCGTGCGACTGCTGCAAGCTCTGGCCTCACGCGAAACGCCCGGCCCGCCCCTCCCGCTGGCCTCGGGGTGCGACAGGGAGGAGCTGTAATGCGGGATGACGATTTAAACAATAGTTTTCTGCAATTTCTGCACAACTTTCTCACTGGCGGAAAACGATTACAGAAGATAGTTTTCCAGCCCGCGGCCGGTTTTTTCTAATCGTCATCCCGGGCGCCGCCGCGTGAGCACGACCCCCGGTCATTTCTTAACCGTCATCCTCCATTAGTCATGAGGACAAGGACTGGAGGCTGGCGGTGGTGGGGCTCGGGCCTCGCCACGCCCTCGACGACTTCCGGACCCCACCCCCCGCCGCTCGCCGACCTGCCTGCACCGTCCACCGGCCAGGGCAGGGCTCGGACTTCGCCAGCGGGTCGGTTCCTGGCACCGCGCGGACCGGGGATGCACAGACCCCCCCTTGGGTAAAACGCGGTCTAGTGAAAACGACCCGAGGCCCAAACCTGGCGGGCGCAAGCCTGGGAAAGAGCGGCCACGGCGCCCTCTCGAGCACCGAAAACGGGCAATTCACGAATCGACGTGTCACTGCTGGGGGCTCTGGATCACTCGCGCCTTGAGCGATCGCAGCGTTCCGCTCGTGCCCTGATGGTCCGCTACCGAAAATTTCCGGTAGCGCTCCGCAGAGATCGGTCGCTACCGAAATACCGAAATGTAGCGCCCAATACCGGTATCAGACCGTTCTGAAATCCGCTATTTCAACGCCCTCAAACGAAGATCCGGTCGCTACCGAAATTCGGGGTGCGTCGAAATCGCTACCGAAACTTTCCGGTACCAGACCATCTGGGTGCTGTCGGCAGACTCCGGGCCACCGGGGGCGCTCCACCTCGGACGCCGCCGCGTCGGCGCGGCGCGGACCTGCCGCTCGCCGCTCCCGGCCGGGCCCACCCCGAGCGCAGGGTCGGCGCACGCAGCCGCCTGGCTGTGACAGGATCGGGGGGGGGGCAGAGAGGTGGGGCAGGGGCTAGAAGAAGGTGGGGTCGGAAGGAAAATCATCGCTCCGAACGGCCCCTGGACGAAGGAAGCGCTTGAAACGGGAGCATCCGGCTGGGCCCGTTCCCCAGCCCCAGGGCCACCTTGGGATAACCCTCCCTCTACGACCCCCCGGCAGGAGGGCGTATGCACCGATCCTGGGCTCCGGATCGGCTCTGCCAGAAGCGGTGCAGGTGTATAGCTGGCGCGCGAGAGCCGGGCTAGTCTGTGCCAAGCAAGAGGCCAGAAAACATCGCGGCACGAAGCTGCGCTCCTTCTCCCTTCGGGTGTCTCAGGTTGCATCCTCGTGGGACCTTGTCTGTCCCGTGGCGGCCCCATCCGCGTCGAATCCGTGTCGAATACATGTCGGCCTCGTCGGATCCGTGTCGAATCACCGTCGATCCCACGCCAAATCCGCGTCGACTCCACGCCACATCCGCGCCGAGTCCGCATCGAGCCCGCGTCGGGCACGAAAAAAGGCACCGCTCTCGGGGGACGGGAGGGGCCCCCCGAGGTTGCAGCATCGCCTGCGCTTCTTCTCTCCTCGGGCGTCGACTCCGGGGGGGAGAGGAGGAGGAGGAGGAGGAGGAGGAGGAGGAGGAGGAGGAGGAGGAGGAGGAGGAGAGGAGGAGGAGGGAGGAGGAGGAGGAGGAGGAGGAGGAGGAGGAGGGAGGGGAGGAGGAGGAGGAGGGGAGGAGGAGGAGGAGGAGGGGGAGGAGGAGGAGGAGGAGGGAGGAGGAGGAGGAGGAGGGGGTGCCTCTGCCGCCGCCCTCCCCTCGCTTCCGCCGCCGGATCCGCCGCCCGAGAGCCTGGTCAGCACGCACCTCTGGAGAGGCCCGTGGAGCAGCGGCACCGTCATCGGCCTGACCTAAGGAACGATAAATCAGGAACGAAGCCCCATTTTTCTCCAGGGAGTAACGCATAAGGAACGATAACTAAGCAATAACGTACGGGGGGACGATAAACAACGCGTGCACGCCTAAGGAACGACGGAGCCCCTTTTGAAAAGTTAGTGTTCCTCATTCAAGCCGCTCACTGTATCGTCATCCTCTTGCGCCCCCCCTGCCAGAAGCGACCCTGGCCCCGAAGCAGGCGGCAAAAAGCGAGGGGCACGGCGCACCTGGAGGCGGCCAGGGGCCTGAACTGGACGGGCCCCGAGAACATCTCTGAAGAGATGGGATCCTGACCAAGCAACTCAAAATCGGTCCCCAGACTGCTCCTCCTCCTCCTCCTCCTCCTCCTCCTCCTCCTCCTCCTCCTCCGCTTCCTCCCCCCACTCCTAGCCCTTTCGATCAGGGTCGGCGGCACCGGCCGTCAGGCCTCTCCAATCGGTCCCCAGACTGCTCCCAGGGTGCGTATGGTGCAGTTTGTCACCCCGGATCCATGTCCATGTTTGACGGTCCTGGGGCCAGAAAAACAGCTCACGGAGGCCAAACAACCTCTGGTGGGGTGTGTGTTTGTGTGGGGGGGTGCGTCCTATGGAGGAGGGGCTCCACCTGCTCGAAACAGGTGCCCAAAACAGCCAATATATACTCTTAAGTCGGGCCTGTCCCCCTTACATGGATTTTCGACGAAAAATGAAAAAAATACAACAAAAATAATCAAAACATAATCCAAAAATGATCAGAGGACTACTTTTTGAGTATTTGTGTTTCCCTTTGGGGGTATGTTTGGGGTATGTTTAAGTTATCGTCGAAAATCCCCCCCTGTATGGGGGACACGCCCGACATAAATCTACTCCACGGGGGGGGGGGGGAGACGGGGGGGGGCCAGGGCCAGCGCCCATCGGCAAACAACAATTCAACTCAGACAAGCGATCGCCAAGGCAAAACCCCTGCTCGAACACAGAGAACACCGACCTTGAGCAGGGAGGGACCGTCCTGGCATTCCTAAGGAGGCCTGCCACGAAATTGTTTTCGAACCCACATGTTTTAGGAACAAGAACCATGCTCTCAGAAACGTGTGAAAGCAGGACAGCTGCAGCCAGAACTGCTCCGAGAAGATTCCGCGCAGCCCACTAAAGGTCCTCAGAACAGCATTATTTGGTGGACCTCCAGGCGCGCCATTACGCTCCGCCACTGGTTGACCAAGGAAGAACACCTTCTCGAACATCGAACACCGACCCTCGCCCCCCCCCCCCCTTCCTGCTCGGCGGAGCCAGGGCTGGGCCGCCTCAGGCCCCAGCGCCAGCTACCTGCCATCGCTCGGGCACGTCCACTCCCTGTGTATGGTTCGGCCTCGCGCGCCTCCTTTTCGAAAGATGATCCAGGCTGCTCCTCGATGCCCCCCGTCTTTTTTATCATTGCTGTTTGATGCATACATACATACATATATACATATATACATATATATCCATATATCTATATATACATATATATATATATATGAATGTACCTATATATAGAGAGATCCATATATATATATATACATGTCGATATGTCTATATATATATATGTTTACCTATATATCGATCGATCTATCTATATATCTATCTATCTATCTATCTATCTATCTATATATCTATCTATCTATATATATACCTATCTGTCGATATATCGATATATCTGACTATCTATCTATATATATATGGCCAACAGACTCCGACGAAGCCAAGCGGCTCCGATCGCGCATGACTGCGCGGCGTCCTCACGCGGTGGCCCACGCAGCGACGCGGCACGCCGCGAGAAGAGACGGAGGCGCCCGGGGCGCGACCTCCAGCGGGCGGCCCGCACGCGACTGCCGGCGCAGCCGACCCTCCTTCGCGGCGTCGCTCGCGGGGCTGCCCTCGGGGGCGTCCGAGGGAGGGGGGCAGCGGGGCTTGCAACCCATGGCCCACGACGTGCTCACGACGTCGGTCGGTTTCTTGCTCCTGTGCTCACGGCGCGGCCCTGGCGAATCTGCTGCTTGTGCCCACGACGTCGATTTGTCGGCCGCCGCTCGCTCGCAGGGCGCACGTTTGATTGGCGCGGGCGGGGGCTGGTCAATCCTTAGTCAACGCTCTGTTGCCGATGCGCCGTCCTGCTGCCTGGCTTCTCTGTCTGTGTTTCTGTCTGTCAGGCATGTGCGCAGACAGGGTTGGGGGGGGGGGTGGGCAGGGACCGCAATTGAAGTCAGAGGAGGAGCCGTGAGATCTAGGGAGACATCGTGGCCCCGGCCATGATGCCCCCCTCCGTCACCACCCCCCTCTTGGCCGCCCCGTGGGAGGCCCTGGCGCGGTCTTTCGGCATCCAATCCAGAATTCGGATCAGGCCGAGATGTGCGTCGGAATCGTGCCGCATCGGCACGACGTCAGGATCGAATCGAGTCGGCCACGCTGGGGTGCACATTAGCGCCGTCCAAGCGACGGGTAAAACCCGATGGCAGGAAGCAGGAGAAACGAAAAGCGATACCAACACCACCAGGGACCTCCAGCGGGCGGAGCCAGGAGGTCCCCCTGGTGGCCTGGTCCCCCTTCTCGCTCGTGGCATCCCCTATCTCCAGCTCGGGGAGGCAGCTTGGACTTCCTCACTTTAATTTTTTTTTTTTGTTTGGTGGCCCCCCTGGTGGTCCCCCTGGTGGTGGTGGTGCCTCAGAAGAGGCCCGGACGCTGGCCACGACAGACCTCCAGAGGGCGGAGGGGCTCCGAGGGGTCGCGCGATCCTCCGCGCCCTGAGAGGCCAGGGTCCCATCGGGCCGGTGGTCTGAACATCAGGAACGAGCAGCGAGGGGATGCTAGAGATCACCGCCTCCTCCTCCAGGAAGCTGGGGGGGCACCCTGGGGCAAGGAGCACGTCCTGTCGACACCCGACGATCTCGGAAGGACTGAAGATCTCTGGAGAGTCGCGCGATCCGTTCGAGCCCTGCCCAAGCGGGCGGGCGCACAGAACAGCAAGAAAGAGCAAGGATGGGCTCGCGGAGGTTACCTTCTCCTCCTGTTTCTTCTCCTCCAGCCCTATCCTCCCTCCTCGTCGTCATCATCTTCCATGTGGCTCAAGCTGATTCGGTCCAAGGAGTCCTGCACACAGCAGCGCATGATCAAATGGACCAAAACCGAACTGACGTGAATGGTCGAGCAGATGAATGGGCAGTGTTGTTATACTTTCCATGCCAGCGAGCGTAACATAGGGAAGGACAGGAAGACAGGAAAGTGCAAGAAGGGGCATGGAGCAGAACAATTGTGCTATACATCCGTACATATATACATGGATGCGTAGCAGAGTGAGATGGAGGAGGGATGGGGGGAAGAATAAACTCAGAAGGGGGTGCGCAACCCAGTGAAGGGTAAAGAGAAACATTCCGACAGGGGGAGCGCATAAGACGGGAAGGACACGGATGGAGACGGGAGCTCCTATGACTCCTCCCCAAATGTTAGCTACTCCGGAGGGGGGGAGGGAGTGAGAGGGAGACAGGCAAGAGGGGGGGTAGAGGGAGAGAGAGAGAGAGAGGGAGAGAGAACATGCAACGAACACATCAAAGAGAGGGAGGGGAAGAGAGAGGGAGATAAAGCGAGAGAGAGAGAGAGGACGAGAGCAAGAGAGCGGCGATATCAAGAGAGAGAGAGAGAGGAGAGAGAGAGAGAGAGACATAGAGTGAGAGAGATGTCTAAACAATGAGAGAAATATAGAGAGAGCGAGAATGCTGAGGGAGGGATGGGAATAATAATAAGAGCGAGAGACCGAGCGAGAGAGAGGGCTATACATACATGCATACACGAATGCATGCATACATACATACCACATACATGCATACATGCATACATACATACGTACGTACATACATACATACATACATACATATATACATACATACATACATACATACATACATACATACATACATACATACATACATACATACATACATACATACATACATACATACATGCATACATGCATACATGCATACATACATACATACATGCATGCATGCATGCATGCATGCATACATACATACATACATATCTGCACGCATACGTACACATACCTGCGTACATGCCTACATATATCCAAACATGCATGCATGCATGGATACATACGTACATCCATGCATCCATACAGACAGACAGGCAGACACACAGACAGACAGACGCACAGCCAGACAGTTATGCACACCTGCAGGCACACATCTATGTGTGTGAGTGCGCGCGTGACTGGATACATATATATATATATATATATATAGTTATGCATATATATATGTGTGTGCGTGTTGTGTGTGCGTGTGCGTGTGCGTGTGCGTGTGTGCGTGTGCGTGTGTGTGCGGCCGTGCCATGTGTGTGCGTGTGTGCGTGTGTGCATGTGTGTGTTGTGTGCGTGCGTGTACGACCTAGAGTGTCCTCAGGGCCCCCTGGTGGGATCCCCCGGGAGCCTCGGCCCACCACCCTGCGGACTCTTCCGCGAGCCGGGGCCCCAGACGTGCCCGCTCGGCCGGGGCGCGCCGCGCGGACCCTGGCAGCGCCCCATGGCTTCTCGCAGGCCCCTCTCGGCTCCGCGAGGGCCTCGAGAGGGGCCGAAGGAGGGCCTCGAGAGGGGCCGAGAGCGCCCTGTTGCTTCTCGCAGGGTCCTCTCGGCTCCACGAGGGCCTCGAGATGGGGCCGAAGGAGGGCCCCAGGAGGCCCCGGAGACGGTCTGAGGGGACCCCGGATCGCTGAGAGCTGGGTCGAAGACGTCCAAGACGGCCTCCTGTCGGCCGAGAGAGCGAGCGAGACTTCCCAAGGGGCCTCCAAGACCCTTCCCAAGGCGGCCCCGAGAAGCAAAAGACAGCGTTCCCAGGGGATTCGGTGCTCGCGCCGTTTCGGCTTCCCGACGCCTCAAGACGCCTTAAGAGGCCCCCAAGACCGCCCCAAGGCGGTCCGAGGGGGCCTTCAAGAGAGGCCCAAACGGGCCCCGAGGGCCCCTAGACGGCCTAAGAGGTCTCAAAGATGGCCCCAGAGGCCCCCAAGATGGCTCCGAGACGGGCCCAGACGGAGGACCCGAACTGGCATTTCCAGGCCCTCGGCCACGAAAGGCCCTCAGGAGGCCCCAAACAAGCCCAAGAGACCCCCAAGATGCCCCAGGAGGCGCCAAGAGGCCCCCAAGAGGCTCCCAAGAGGCTCCAAGAGGCCCACAGGAGGCCCCAAACCTGTTCCCAAGAGGCCCCAACAGAGGCCCCAGGGAGCGCTCAAAAGAGACCCCCAAAAGCATCCCTGAGGACCATGACCCACAATCCAGGTACGGTGGCGGCATGGGCCGACGACGTTCATACATAGACAAAAAGAGGGAGAGAGAGAGAGAGACATAAAGAGAGAGAAATAAAAAACGAGAAAGAGAGAGAGAGAGAGAGAGACAGAAAGAAAGAGAGAAACAAACGAGAGAGAGAGAGAGGGGAACAAAGGAAGAGAGAGAGAAGGGGAAACAAAACAAGATAATGAGAAAGAACGTGAGAGAAGGAGAGAGAGAGAGAGAGAGAAAGCGAAAGAGCGAGGTAGAGAGAGAGAGAGGAAAGAGAGCGATAGAGAGAGCGAGAGAGAGAAAGAGAGCGCGCGCGCAACACAAGAGATACTTACAAGAGAGAGAGGCCGGTGGCAAACAGAGGCACATGCCAGGAGGAAGAAGGAGGAGTGAGGAGGCTGGGGCCAGGAGGGAACGAGGACGGCGAGGAAGGGCGAAAGGGAGCGACCAGCAGCGGGAGGGGCGGAGGAGCAGGGGCAGGGGAGGCTGGAGCGGCGGTGTCCTCTTCCACCACCTCCTCCTCCTAACTGGAGGAGGAGGAGGAGGAGGAGGAAGAGGAAGAGGATGAGGAGGAGAAAAAGAGAGAAAGAGGGAGGAGGAGATACAGATCGCCCCAGAGGCAGGAGCACTCGGCAGAGGATGCGTGCAAGAGCGGGCGTGTGCTGGTCCCGAGACCGCAGAAACGGCAGCGGTGCTCTCCGCGGGGCAGAAAACTCGCAGGGGCAGTGGCGGCCCTGTGGCGGCCGCCGGGGCGCCTCCCTCGGCTGAACTGCTGCAGCCTGCCCACACCAGACCTGCAGAGCCTCAGCTCTGGTGCGCGCGGGGGAAACAATTAGTTGGGACGGAGCAGGCTCGTCCGCCGCGGCACCCCCAGGCCGCCGATCGCCGTCTCCCGAGAGGCTGGGGAACAGCACCTGCATGGGCGGAGCTTGGCAAGTATGCCTGCTGAGGGAAGAGGGGGGTGATACAACCTCGAGTCCAACCCAGCGGCTGAGACGGCGCATGTCTGGAGAAGCGCCCACAACGGTTGTCAAGTCGGCCCCAAGGCTGCGTCCGCTAAGGCGAAAGCAGTCGTCAATTCAGCTCCAACACTTCGTTCGTCAAGGCGAGTTGAGCCGTCAGCGCGGCCCCGACACTTTGTTCGTCAAGACCGAGGTCGTTTTCAACCATCAACTCGGCCCCGACGCTTTGTTCGTCAAGACGGATGGGGCGGCGAGGGGGGCCGTCAAGGGGGTTCATCAACTGAAGTGGAGGCCGTTACGGGGGTTCGTCATCCCAAAGGGGGGCCGTCAAGGAAGTTCGTCAACTTGGAGGGAGGCCGTCAAGGGCGTTCGTCAAGTCGGAGAGAGGCAGTCAAGGGATTCGTCAATTTGGAAAGAGGCCCTCAAAGGGGTTCGTCAACTCGGAGTTGACGGTCAGATCCTTTCACTAAGATGAAGTTGGCGGCCCAAGCGCCGGATAGAATATACATGGTCATCCGTCGTGGCGTCCAGGCCCAACTCCAGACCTGCCGCCCGCGACATACTGAAATGCAACCCGGGGAAGATCATGGCCCTGACCATGGTCTCCACGCACCCCTATAGTTCCCACGTCCCCAATCCTCAACACTCTCGGTCTTCACGTCCTCACTCGGGTCCCTGTGCCAGCCAGTCGGGATGACCCGGGCACTCCCCAAACGAGCTCTCGACGAGGCGCCGCTGGACAGCCACCCCGAGCAGGGAAGACCCCAAAAAGCCAACGAGCTTCCCCCCACCCCGGCCTCCCCCCCTCGACGACAGAGGCGTCTCCCTGGCCGACCTGGCCGTCCGACGGCTCCCCGCCTGACTTCTTCGACGACGAGGACTGTGTCAAGATAGGGAACGTGAGCTGAGGCTGCGTTCAAGAAGTTCACAGGCATCTGGCGCCCCTCGTTTCTGCAGCCCGTGTGGACCTCAGCTGATCTGATAAATCCTGGACAAGCAAGGGCGCCTCGAGTTTCTGGGGAAGGGGGACCGAAGCTCCTGACTGCAGTGGATATGGATACACATCTCGCTTATCATAAAGAGGCCTCCTGGATGGGGTCCGAGTCGATGGGATCCGAGAGTCGCGCCGCATCACCAATGCATCGCAAATGAATCGTCGATGCATCGGTGACGCTCCGGCGATGCCTGCGACGCATCGGCGACGTCGGCGTGGGGAACATCGGGCTCCGCATCGAGCCGCGTCCCCGATGCATCGGGGATGCGACGCGATCCTCCGACCCCATCTGCTCCGACCCCATCTGGCAGGCCAAGAGTAATCTCGGCCTCCTACGGGTAGTGATATCCCTCGGCCTCCTACGGGCAGTGACTTTGGACGCCCGAAATGGGTACGGAAGAAATGGGCACAATGCC